ATCTGAAAGCTGAATATATAATCTTTCCATTGATGTATGGTTTGTTAGGATAGGACAATATTTGGCCGAGATGCAACTATTTGAAAATCTGGAATCTGAGGGTGCAACAAAATCTAAATATTGAGAAAATCATCTTTAAAGTTGTTCAAATGAAGTTCTTAGCAATGCATATTACTAATCAAAAATTAAGTTTTGATATATTTACGGTAGGACATTTACAAAATATCTTCATGGAACATGATCTTTACTTAATATCCTAATGATTGTTGGCATAAAAGAAAAATGTATAATTTTGACCCAATGTATTGTTGGCTATTGCTACAAATATACCCCAGCGACTTAACACTGCTTTTGAGCTGCAGGGCCACATATTATCAGTATCATAGTTTTGAGCTACAGGACATGTGCGTTCACCGCTGGATGATTTCTCTGAGCAGAACAGACCTGGATGTCTGCAGGTTTATTTCACGTGTTTGCAGTGACTCTGAGGATCATCACAGCTTTCCTCGGTGCGCTCAAACCTGGACAGAAAGAGACACCAGAGGAAGAGAGGCATCCAGGCGTCTAATGGAGATTTCACAAAACACCCTTCGAAATGTGCTGGTTATTTTGTTCAGAAACGTGGTGCTGCTTCATGATTGAAATGTGAAGAGTACATACACAGTGTTTCACTGCACACATTAAACCACGAGCAGATGTTTTCAGCAGAAGATGTGGGTCAGTGTAATTCAAATACCATTTATTTTTTACCTTTAAAGTATAATTTTACAGTGTGCTGGGTTTGTACAGTGCTCGAAGGCCGATCGAGGAATATTATCCATGCACGGTTCACAAGAAGAGCTTTAGACTCGATCAAACCTGAAAGAGCAAAAACAAAGCAGAAGGCAAATGTCATCCTGATGAGACGTTTACAAAAATGGAGCAAACGAAGCTTGTGAGATCCTCTCTGTATTCTGAGAGAAGGATGACCTGTAGTGCTAGTTTAGATGGTTTAACCCGCTCACAACCCATTCAGGGCCGTTCAGTCTTTGTTAGGATGGGTTTTGGCAGATGTTTCAGGACACAATGCTTTAACGAGCACAAGTGTGTCTCAGGTCTGGGCTGCGTTTATCAAAAGCATCGTAAGCCTCAGTTGACCGTAGCTCTATTGGTGACAATGGTTCTGCGATCAATTTAGGCTTACGATGCTTTTGATAAACGCAGCCCCGAGTGTTTCTGCGTGCTTCGGGGATTTACAAACCGTACCTTCTTATAGAAACCATCGGAAAGCTAATAAAAAGTCATGCTTGCATTTAAATGTTTAATTTATTGTTTCTAGTGGTGCAATGCTTCTGTTATTACATGTCTGTGCAGAAAAAGAAAGACTTCAAGTGAAAACTTCACATGGCTAAAGCAGCTCCAGAATACAACCTCACGCCGTAAACAACGCTCGGCAAAAACAGAACTCTGTACATTAAATATCCTCTTAAAAATAACAACACAAGGACAAGGCCTTTGCATTCAAACGCTCAAACTCTTTCTTCTCAAATTCAACAAAATAACCTCTATTAAAGAAAACGGCAAAACAGAATATGGTGATTTTGGTATTCAGACAAAAGAGCCACACTTTATAAATCCAGCTGATGAATGCATCCTGATGATCTCCCCGGATACAGAGCAGTGTGGCCGTGGCTGCGTTTTCATTGGACGGGGACAGAGGAAGTGGGAGGAGCCAAGAGGCAGACTCAGAACTAGGGCAACTGAAATTCCATTCAACAGTGAGAAAATAAGACGAGTTATTACACTTTCCAGCCCGCTGACAATACAAATGAAACATGGACTCGAGTGCCGGAGAGAATGTAGTCTGTGGAGTAAATGTGCCAATCTGCAGCCACTTTGTCACACCAACATAAAAGAGGTTGAAGCGGATGGGTGACAAAGTGAGCCAGCAGCAGTGGTGTTCAAGACCCTAACAGAAGATCACACTCCTAACAGAACAACAAAACAAATCAAAGCTTTCAATAGCGTCTAAATCAGTAGAGCGACACCGAGTTGACCCCACGGAGAGTCATGAGGATGCAGCGTTTGTCCGCAACGGTCCACGCTGACGCAGCAAACGCATACCACAAAGCCTCGGGTTTCCCTTCATTCGGCTGCTGAGGTATTCTCAGATGATGATGATGATGATGAAGATGATGATGGAGCTGGAGGGGATCCAGAGGTTTGCACACATGCACCATCCGCTACAGCGACGGTTCACACCAAGACTGCGTCTGCGTCTGCGCACCAGACTCTGCAGGCACCCGCGTCGCTCCAGGGTCATCATCACAGACAGATGGAGAATGGAGATGGCCGTCGGCGCTGGCAGAGAGTGCGGCTCCGCTCCGGGGCTTTAAGGCCTGGTCTCGGTCCTGGAGGCGAGCGGATGCGGTCTCGAGGCAAGGTGTGGGCGACTGCTACTCGTTAGTCTGGACTGGAGGGACCTCGTCAGTTCCCTCCCAGCTTTCTTGGGGCCGCTGCGGGTTATTCATGTGCTGGGCGGCCGGGCCGGTGTAGGGCTGGTTATTCGGCTGCAGAGAGAGCGAACACAAGTCAAGTCACTTATTTATAAAGCACTTTTAACAATACAGATTGTGTCAAAGCAGCTTTACAGCATTAAATAGGAAAATAGTGTGTCAATAATGCAGAAGGACAATAGTAAACACTAAATGTTCAGTTAAAGGCAGTTGAATACACACACACACTGAAGTACAGTATTTAAGTGTTCACGCAAACATGATCTGTTCTGTCTTAAGTGAACGTTTGTGGAAACAGTTTATGTGTAACATTATATTAGATCCGGTACAGTACAGTAGGTCTTACTATAGGCCGTCTGATTAATGTTAATCTAACAATAAAAGAAAAGATCGCTGCTCTTCATTGAACTGCTTTTGTAGTTTTAATAATCAATTTATTTGTGATGAATACACTTTTTTAGATTTGATTATTTGTTTTTCTTACTTGAATGGTTTTGTTTAAATGTAAAATAAAAAATTATCTTCATGGAACATGATCTTTACTTAATATCCTAATGATTTTTGGCATAAAAGAAAAATCTATAATTTTGACCCGTACAATGTAATAATAATTATAATAAATAGCTATATTGTGATTATTAATACAGTAATTATTATTAAGAAAAGAACTGGAGGAAAAAATGCACCGTTGCTTGGTGATTTTGCTCACTCATTTTTCGTCCTCATTTAGAGGGTCTTTTAATGGAGAAAATACCTCATTTTTGAAAATGTGCTCATTGTGACTCATTTAGCCAGCACAGGTCACATTATGTCCATTCAGCCCGGTGTAAATCTGGCAGAGCAGTCGTCAGGTGTGCAGCGATGGTGTGAAAGAACAGGAAGTGGATAACCTCTGCCCATATCTGTCCTCACAACTAATCCATATTTTGACCTTTTCTCTTTTTCCCACTGATGAGAAAGTGTGTGAGATGTGGTGTGCACTTGGCCTCAGAGGACAGCAGTGAAGGACTAGCGTGTGGACGTCACCTGCTGATACTGTGTTCCTGGAGAATGAGGATAGAGCGCAGTGTCCTCCGGCGGCGACGAGTCGTGCTCATCAGGTGCTTCCTGATCATCTGGCTCCTGAACAAACAAACAAACATGTGTTGATCTAGTAGAGCGATTCCCAGGGAACGCATGACGAATGCAAGTCACTGTAGATGTTAGCACTTTAGCCATTATGCATCAATATCTCAGCATATAAGCAACTGAACTCTTAGCCTAATGCTTATTGAAAATATTTTATTATTACCTATTATTCAAGAAATAGACCAGCTCCCCAAAACTCTATATTGATTAGTAGGAATGTAATGATATCAAAATCTCACGATACGATAATGTGAAGTCCACGATACGATATTTATGGCGATATTTTAAAAAAAGACAAGACAAATGAAGACTTGGGAAAAAATGAAAATGTTGTACATTTTAAAGTTAAATTCTTCTATCTAAAGCACTTTGAGAGTTCAAAATTAAGAGCTGCAACCCTTGTTCTTATCTAAGAAAACTTAAGTCAGAAAAAAGTCAGTGAATTGACTTGAACCTGAACTTTAAAGGAGACTCAACCCTCTTTTTATTTGTGATATATACTGTCTCAGTCTAAACTACACTCACACTGGGGTTTTAAGGAGGTCAAACAAATTAGAATATAATAATAATAACAACAATGACAGTAATAGCCATAAATTGTAAAACAGTTGCACTGTAAAATAAATGAAAATGAATATTTTATAAGTATATTATTTTTGCTTTACACTACAGTAGAGAAATTACAATACTTCTTTCCTAATTTCTACACTTGAAAGATATTTAGAATTTGGACTCATTTAAACCGCTAGCTGTCAGCTATTCATATACTGCACTCTTACGCTTTTATTCTGACGGAAACGGCAGTAGAGCAAATCTAGTGAAACGCTGTAATCATCTGCCGTGAAAATAAAGCCTAACTAAACTCACAGCACGTGAAATAAAGGAGTTGACTGCATTCATTCAGTGTGAACGAGTCGTTC